CATATCTTAAGCTGTGCATCTTGAGTCAAAACCCCTAGTGTGTGAGCTGAGCTATTTCTGTTTCCATGAAACTTCCAGAACATGCTGAGGCACAATAAAGATGAGGAACTTTTGACTTCAGCAAGGTATGTGACTCAGGGATGGTATGCTTGGCCAACATGAGTGTGACCCTGTACTCTGTATCATCACCACAGAGAAAAATGGAACACTGTGTACAGACTTAACACATTGACTTGTGGAGAAGTCACCAAGGCCACAGAACAAGCAAAGCACCACTGCCACCTGGAGAAAGACTGCAGAATACTGAGTCTCAGAAGTATTTGTTACAATCAAATGAAGAAAGACAGCCTCACTGTCCCACCACTCAGGTCAGTAATGTCCTAAGCATTCTCAGCAAATACGATTCTCTGTGACAGAATTTTTGTTAAATTTAAGATAAGCATTCCAAACTGAGTTACCACAAACTGTTGAGAGCTGTAAGTGAAACATTGAAGTGGCCAAATTTAATATCCAGACAATGTGGCAAATACTCTATGAATAATTTCTCCAGAATACAGAAGAAGTACTTGGCTAAAGGTGATACAAACTTCAGAGACATACTTAGGGTTCTGTTTAAAGGAAATTTACACTATTAGGATCCACTGGAAAAGCAAGTGATCTCTAAAAGACTTAACAGTTTGTCTCAAAAATGTTCAGATACGTAGAAAAAGAATATTTACAGCAGTCAGAAAATTCTAGTTCTGGTATGAAATATGTATTATTTTGTATTACATAAATGTATGTTAAATGAGCTTAGAAAAAAAATAACAAGGACACTGTTTCCTCTAATTGATAGCTTTGTGGATTTACCACTTTCTTGTATTTAGGTATACCACCTGCTTGTATTTCAATTTGGGAGAAAGACTGTATTGCTTGTATTTCTTCTGACTGTCATCAGGTGCAAGGACATTATGTGTTTCCCTTAAAGAATCTTTCTTTTGAGAGCTGCAAAACCCAGGTTTTCACCTCCTCTGCTGAGAATCCTTGCGCGGCTATGCCTCTTTCCTTCTGTGAATGTAAGTGATGACAGTATCCTAAAGGAGAAGGAAGAGACCACTGAGTGTTGAAGTGGAGCTCCCATCTGCAGGAATTTTTCACAAGTCAGAAGTTAGAATTCAATGTAAACTTTTGAGAAAAGGTGAAATTGTTTATACATTGTGACTACTAAGGAAATGTAAATTTGTTTTCCATCATGAGGTGGACATTAACACTGGGGTTCCAATGCAGTAAGGCATGGTTTGCTTGTGGTATAAGTTTGTTCTAGTGACTCGTGTAATGAGGGCATAGTTCTCATGTTGAGACTATTAGGAAGTGGTGGAATCTTTGAAACATGGTATCAGATGAAGATTCCTTCCCTCAGAAGGCATTAAGGTAGTTTCCCAGACAGGATTGCAATCAAATATCAGACTTGGTCCTGTTCAAGCTGCCTCTAACTTACTACATTATGTGTAAGCCTTTCTCCCACAAAGCCCCATGCCATTGTATTATCTGATATGTGGCTGCTCACCATCATAAAAGATACATTTTCCAACTGATGATTAAGGTCATTTGCTTGATTTTTACCATTTCTCCATATGCATAATCATCATATAATATACTGAAAATATTTGCAAGTTTTATTGTGCAAATGTAGGTCATCAGCTTATTATACCTGAGATTAGGATGGAGAGAAATAAAGATTAAAAGCATAAATCAGACTTTCTTGGAGGTTTTTATCTAATGGGCATTGTGCCTTTCTCCATCTAGTGCCTTTTAGATGATGACTTGAGTTATTTGTTCCTGGATGCCATGTGAGAGGGGGAAAATAACATTGTGAGCAGTTTGAGAAGATGCAAAAGGAAAACTACCTTCTTACTTTTGACACACTCTTTCTCAGCACCACCTTCATTCCCACTAATGACCACATCATCACTGTCTCCATTTCATAATGAGTGCCAAATTTTAGTCTCAGGAAAGGTGATTAAGAGTGAAATGAAGTCTTGTGGCTACCACAAGCACTGTTTCCTGTTGTTGTTTTCTTTTCATCCTATTGTAACTTTTGCAAGCAGCGTGTTGTGTGTATTGAGAAGTGTGAAGGTTTTAAACCAAGTTGGTGTTTTTAATCCTTTTCTGTGTGCATGATGTGATGTTGTTGGTAGACATGAGAGGTCATTTGCCAACCATGGTTTCTCCAAGGCATCCCTTTGTTTATTTATTTTTTTATTTTAAACAGATTTTAAAAAACAAAATATGACATGAAACGGATACATACATGTTAGAACATCTTAGTTTATTTCTTTCATCCTCTTTCCCTCCAGTTGCCTCCCCTGCTACACTTCTTCCTCTCTTTGCTATCTGAGACAGTTCTATCTACTTCTTATTATCTGTCTTTTATTTTCCTCTTTATGTATAAATCTGGGTTTCTTATGTACAAGAAACCATGAGGTACTTAAAATGTGTGTCAGATTTATTTCACTTAAAATTGTAGTCTCAAGATGCAGACACAACTGAATCTAGTTTACCTTCCACTGTGGTAGAACAATACTTCTTTGTGTATAAGTTCTACATTTCCTTTATTTATTTACCTGCTGATAGACGTATATGTTGTATTCAAAATTTAGCTATTTTTGACTTGTGCTGCTATAGACTTGGATATAAATGTATCATCATAAGAGAAAATTGTGACTGTTTTAATTCATTTTAAAAATGATGCCAGAAACGCATAAAGTGATATTATTACATTGTTTACATTGCATTTATTGTGAGGCAGACAGATTTATGGCTTTCAGAAGAGTAAAGGGAAAAAATATTGCTTTTGCTAACAAGGCAGATTACACTAAGGATTATGAAGAATTGTTGGTTAACTGATTAATTTCACAGACAAGCTATAAGATAAATATAGCATACAGTAAAAAATGCTATGTATATGGTGATAATACGATCCTCATTACCAACTTTTTCATTGTTAGTCAACATATACAATATTGCTTATTGTAATTTAACTGATTTCTCCACATATTCTTAAAAGGTAATTAAGATTTTCCTCCAAGGTATTCACAATTATACTCAGAATAGTTTACATAATTTACTTTATCACTTCAACAGTTTCATTGCTTTCAGGGTTAAGATGTTTTATTTTTAGTAATGACTGCTAACACCACAGTGGCATTCTGCCTGATTTTTCCTTTGAACACTACTTGCTTCACAAGGTGGAGTGAAGCCCACTGCATTTGGTGAAGCAGTAGATGTTATCTATATTTTATCTTTCCTTTTCTAAGTGAAGTGCTTCAGCCCAGAACACACCGAACCACAAGTCAATCTGAATAGTGTTGCTAGGACAACAGGGTATTATATGACATTATGGTGCTAAATGGTATAAGTAAACACGCCCGAAGGACCCCACCAAACTCCAGCTTGGTCTCTTCTTTATTTTTGTATCCTCTCTTCGTCCTTTACCCAGGGAACCTCATGGGCCACATGGGCCATGGCATTCCATCTAGGTCCCATGTCTAAAAGTTTCCACCACTTACTAATAGTCTCAGAATGAGAACTATACCTTCAATACACAGGTCAGTAGAATAAACTTAAATCATATCCAAGCCATACCTTCTTGCACTAGACCCCAAATGTTATTATCCACATCATAATGCAAAAGAAATTTGCATTTTCACAGTCCTTAGTCATAATGTGTAAACAATTTCACCTTTGCTCAAAAGTTTATTGAAGTATGAGTTGAGAATTGTGACAAATCCTGCATATGTGAGCTTCACTGCAACACTCAGTGGTCTCTGCCTTCTGCTTCAGGGTCCTAACATCAGTTACATGCAAGGATAGAAAGAGGTAGAGCCAGCTATGTATGGACTCTCACCAGAGGAGACAAAAAGCTGGATTTTTGTAGCTCTAGAAAGAAAGATTCTTTAAGGGAAACTTTTTGAGAACATTTAGTGCTCCTGATGGCACCAAAAGAAAAATAAGCAATGAAATCCTTCTCTCAAATTGAAAAATTCACAGGTGTTATATCCACATAAGTATCAATTAGAGGAAGCAATGTTCTTGTTATATTTGTATTGAGTTCATTTCATATATATTTATGTAATATAAAATAATACATTCTCTACCAGATGTAGAACTTTTTACCTTTTCTAAATTTTCTTTTTCCAAATACCTGACATTTTGGGCACAAATTGGTCATTCTTTTGATGATCACTTGCTCATCAAGTTATCATAATAGTGTCATTATTGGTGAGATCACTGCTTTCGGGTTTCTGTATATTTCTGCTTAAAGGGACCCCTAAGCAAATGTATAAAGTGTATAACATCCTTAGTGAAATATTTCTTTTGTAATTGATTAGTTTTTCACAGTACATTTGTAATATTATCTGGATATGATTTAAAGTTGGCTACTTCAGTATTCCAATTACTGCTTTGACCAGGTTGTGATGACTCATCTTGGAATGTCTATCTTAAAATTATCAAATATTCTATTACAGAGAAGCATAGCCACTCAGAATCTCTGGGGCATGACTCACCCTCCCTTTTTGCACAGTGAGGCAATTTTTCTTCATTATATTGTAATAAACTTCTCTGATCCTCAAAATCTTGACAGTACCTCACCCCACAATAGGGGAAAGTCATACCACTAAAGGGAGAAACATTGTATACTACTTCGCAGAATAAGTGGGATTTTGTTATGTAACTGTAGACTTTGATCCTTTGGTCAAGACTACATTGGGTCATAATCATCATCATCACCCAGTGCCATGGAACTGGATGCTGAATCAAATTGCAAGCTTGTATAGCAAGCTTGTATATTCAAGAAATAGGAAAGATAGGTTCTTGTGATAGTCATAATAAACCAGCTACATTTAGAAGACATTCCTGAAGAATCTACATCTCATAGGGAAGCTTTGATACTAGTGATAAAATTATCTATCAAAAATATTGACAAACATTGTCAAAGAAAACAAAATATTAAAATTAGAGAGAGCCTAAATCAAGGCCACTGTTTTGTGACAGCAGCTGATTTCAAACAGGAGCCCAAATCGAAGTCTCTTTTGGGTCTTCTGTCCTTTTCAGAACTTTGAGAATGTAATGATCAATTCATTAAAAAGAAATACAATTGGAATTATCAGAATGCCTATAATTCAGAATCAACCCTTCTGGTTGGGAAAGAATGATAAAAGTCCCACTCTCTGTGAGCCAACAGCAGTCACAATAGCCAGGAGAGAACAAAGGATGCTTGCACCTGTCAGCCAGCAGCAGTCACATCAAAGAAGCCACACACTTCTGAAAGCCTGCCAGCCTGTGCATTGAGAGATAAGAGTTCCCAAACAGCCACCCAAACCCCTATAAGTAACCACCTGAATAACACAGGCTGCAATGATAGCAGCCAACAAAGATCAGAAGCAACAGCCTTAGTTGCCCAGTGTCCCCCACCCCAGCCACCTTCAGGGATGATTACTTCTCACAGATAATCAGTGCATCCCTAGAGAAGCATTCAGGTACACCCCAGTGCCTGCTTACTGCCACAGGGGATGCTTGCTTCCTATCGACTGGGAGAAAATACCAGACAAACCACTGCTCACTGGCTGCAATCAGAGGAGTCCCAGTGTAGCTTCACAGGCCAGGAGAAAAAGTAGAACTTCCCTTGTGTGACAGCAGCAATCAGGGCAACCTCAGTGTAGCTATCTCTATCTAGAAAAGCCCACTCCATGCCTCCCCAGGAACCCGTTCAGAGAAACTCAGGATCCTAGCTCATTTTCTACACTACATATCAGTATTCAGTTTCCAAAGTGTCTAGAACTCCACAAACTGCTCATCTGAAGGAAAATATCAAGATGAATAAGGAAAAAGCAATCCAAAACCTCCAGCCCATACAGAACAAGTCTGGAAGACATTGACATGGAATAAGTTGGATTTATAAATCTGAAATATGTCGGGGAGTAGCAATTGAAGTAAGAAATCAGTTTCATGAGGCTGCAAAAATAACCTGCTCATAAATAATATCTCAGTAAAAGAAGAAATGACAGAGAAAATGAAAAACTTGCTGAGCATATCTAAAAAAGACAGATTTTTAAAAAAAGAGAAACATGAGAGAATGATGCAAAACTTGAAAGAACAGTAGAGGGAAGAATTACAATGTATGAAACAGACTCAAAGAGATATCCAGAAACTAAACCTCCATTGAAAATTGACAAAACTCTGTCAAAGAGACTGAAATTAATCTCTCAGACTTTGAAGACAGGCTTGCAGCTAGTGATCATGAAAGAAAGAAGCTCTTGAAAATCACAATAAAATGAGAAACAACAAATGAATGTCTGTAAGACAATAAAAAGAGAAATGATTTAAGACTGATTGGGGTTAGCTAAAAGCCATTAGTTAATTCAAGTGACATAAAAGGACTGTCTATAGAAAGCAGAAAAGTTCTCAAGAATGGGAAAGGACCTAATATTCAGATAAGTGAGGCATATAAAAGTCCAATTAATCATAACCAAAATAAATCTACTCAGATATAATAATTAAGATTCCAGAGAGTCAGCACAAGAACAGAATATGAAAGGCTATTAGAGTAAAGAAATAGATAACCTATAATTGGAAACCCATCAGAATCATGGCAGACTTTGCAACACAAACTATCAAGTCAAGAAGAGATTGGAGTAAAGTGTTTCAAATGATGGAAGAAAAATCTTTCAACACAGATTGAGGTACCCTGAAGAATTGTCTTTCAAAATTAATAGAGAAATAATATAGTTCCATGGTAAAAAAAAAGTAAAGGAATTCATCACTAGCAAACCAGCCCTACAAAGGGTACTGAAAGATATTCTAGAAAGTGAAGAATATGACCAAATTTCCAGGAGCAGTAGCAAAGGGACATCACTGAGCAAGACAGAGAAGTGAATAGAGGGCAAAATCAGAGAGCCAAAGGCAGAAAAATAGCAGGCAGAGATAGAAGCAAGCCAGTAGTAACTATTAATGCAAATGGCCTCAATTCACCAATAAAAAGAGACACAGGCAGATTGGATCAAAAACAGATTCATCAAAATACTATACACATGAAACAAACTCAAATCAAAGAAAATTCACAGACCAAAAATCAAAAGATAGAAAAGTGCACCACAAGACAGGGAAGCAGAAAACAGGAGGACTAGAGAAAAATATGGTATTTTGATATAAAACTACTCAGATGCAAAGAATACCTCAGGGTTCTTGTAGGAAAGGGAATGCAACTTGAGATCACATGGATGAGTGAAATGATTCAGAATCAAATGGGTGAACACAGTTGTCTCCCTAGTATAAAAAATTCAATGAGTTACTAGAAAGTAAAATGTACAATAACATTGTAAAAGTGAAAGTGGAGGAAAAGTGGCAAACATTGCTGATTTCCTACTATCATGTTTTGAATTCTTGAATTGTTTACATTTCATTGTTTTTTTTTCATTCCATTTTTTGTTCTATTTCATTGTATCTGATGTTATTGGTAGATATTTTTGAAGATAAATGATATATTATGATAGCTATTGTTGATTTCTCGTTTTCTTGTTAGGAAGTTCTGTATCATTTTCATCATTTTGTTTTGATTGATTTTACTCTGTTATGTTTTGTTTGACTTATTAGATGGAATGAGAAGTTATTCTGAAGAAAACAAGAGGCATTATGCTAGCCATTGATGATTTCTTATTATCTCCTTTTGTAGTCCTGTTTCACTCTCACTGCTTTGTTCTGATTGGCTGTATTCTGTTTCATTTTGTTTTATTTTCTCTAAAATTAAAAAAGTCATACATGATATATATATATATATGTATATATATACACATATATATACATATATATAGTATAGAACTCTAAATAGGTAAAACCAAAAGATTATATATATATATATAATATATATAATTAAAATTCCAGAAATCCAGCACAAAAACAGAATGTTAAAAGCAATTAGAGAAAAGAAACAAATCACCAACAAAGGAAACCTCATCAGAGTCACAGCAGACTTCTCAACACAAACGAGTAAATCAAGGACAACTTGGCGTGTGGTATCTCAACTCCTAAAAGAAAACAACCTCCAACCTAGATTGAGATACCCTGAAAAATTATCTCTCAAAATTGGTGCAGAAATAAGGTATTTCCATGACAAAGAATAGGCAAAGAAATGTAAGACCATGACATCAACTCATCAGAAAAAAATGAAAACCACCATCACAAGAACACTAGGAGTTAACAAACTATGAGGCTAACAAACCATGAGCAATTAATTAGAACAGTAAGACAAGGAACCAAAAAGAAGAAAATGATATGAGAAAGATAACCATCAATCAAAATGATCTCAAGTCTCCAATCTAAAGAAACAGACTGACAGAAGGGACCAAGGAGTAATATCCAAGAATATGTTGCACTCAAAAAATTCATGTAAATCAAAAACAAAATTAATAGGTTAAAATCAAGGGGTGGAAAATAATACTCAATGAACAGGAAGCCAGAAAATAGGGTAGGGATTCTATTTGCATATATTGTGAACTTCAAGCCAAGATTCATCAAAAGATACAAAGGTCACTACACCCTTTTGACAAGAATATTTCAATAAGACATAATAATCCTAAATATAAATGCACCAGTCACTAGTGCATTCAACTACACAACAAAAATATCAAACATGAAGAATTACATCAGCAATAACACAATTACATTGAGAAATCTCAATACCCAACTTACACAGTTCAATAGATTAACTATACAAAAAATACCAAAAAAAATCAGAATTGAAGCAAACCAGTGAACAAATGGATGTCCTAGAAATCTACAGAGTGTCCACCCCACAACATCAAAATTCAAATTGTTCTCAGATGCACATGGGACATTATCCAAAATAGAACACATATTATAACACAGAATATGCTTAGAAAAAATGTAAAAGAATAAAATTATCCCATAAATATTATGTGATCATAGTGCAATGAAATTGGTAATCAACACCAAAAGAAACCACAAAAACTATATAAATACATAGAAGTTGAAAAACAACTTCTATGAGCAAGCAATGAGTCACAGAGAAAATTAAAGAAGAAACTAAATATTATCTAAAATTAAGTGAAAATGCTGATGCAACTTAGTGGAACTTAGCAGACACAATGAATGTAGTCATTTAAGGAAATTTACAGCAGCAAATTCTCAGATCAGGAAAAGTGAATGAGCTCAAATAAACAACTTATTGTTCAATCTCAAATTTTTAGAAAAGGAAGAACAAATCCATCTCAAAGCTTACCCAACACAGGAAACTGAAGATCATAGCAGAAGTTAATTCAACTCACACTAGGAAAACAGCCAAAAGCATGAATCAAATAATTGCATCTTCAAAGTAAGCAAATAAAATTCCTAAATGTCTAGCCAACCTAACCAAAAATAAGAAAGAAACGACCAAAACAAAAGCAATTAAAAACGAAAAGGGTGAAATCACAAGAAATCATTTGGATATCCAAAAATTTATTAAAATCTACTTTAAGAACCTGTACTCTAATAAAATGGAAAACAGCAGAAATGGAGAGATTCCTAGACACATACGAATAACCAAAACAGAATGAAAAAGAAATAAATAGTCTAAATAACTCAGTATCAGTCAATGAAATTGACATGCAATTAAAAATATATCAACAAAGAAATTCTAGGCCCTGATGGCCTTCTTCCTGCATTCGACAAAAAAAAATTATAGAATATCTAACGACACTAATACTCAAACACTTGAATGAAAATGAAAGTGTAACAATACTTCCAATACAATTTCTGCAAGAATTACCTTGATACCAAAACCAGAGAAACATCCAAACAAAAAATAAAAAGTAGAAAGACAGAGAGAGAGAGAGAGAGAGAGAGAGAGAGAGAGAGAGAGAGACAGAGAGAGACAGAGAAAGACAGAGAGAGACAGACCTGCAGGCCAATCCCTCTAATTAACATAAATGCAAAAATCCACAGTAAATTACTAGAAAAGAATGCAGAAAATCATCTAGAATACTACACATCATAATCAAGTAGGATTCAGGGTTGGTACGGTATATGCTGTTGGGAGTCATCATCCCAAGATTTGGATTACTCTTGACTTTAAGGTGAGGGATTTGACTCCCATTTATA